CGTGTAGGGTTAGCATTTTATTTGAGAAATAATGGCAGACAATTATTTTTATTTCAAGGATTGGGTTGATCTTTTTTGTTATTATTATTTCAAGCTTAAATTGTTTTCTTCAGTTGATGAATAAAGATATACAAACAAATTTTTGTGAGTACTATGCTATATAGGCTATTTTTCTTGGTTATCTTGTATCTTGTGCTTCTGTTCCTCTAAGTCGAGGTAAAAGATCCAAACTTTTCTTGAAGAACGCAATAAATATATAATTTCATTACTTTGTTGCTAACAAGCAAAAAGGTACTGGGGTTTTGATTTTGTTTAACTATTTGTAGTAGCTCAATCGGAATCTGCAAACACCGTGGATGCCCAGCCAGTGGATGATCCGCCATCAGCGCGGTTCACGTGGACAATTGATAACTTTTCGAGGCTTAATATCAAGAAGCTCTATTCTGATGTCTTTTATGTTGGAGGCTACAAATGGTAATTCAATATAGTCTTGTTGGTTTCTGTTGATTAAAGTATTTTGGAAGTAGATTACGTCTTTTGGTCATCATTATTCTTTATTCATTAGAGTTTGCATTAAATTAAAATGTGCTGCAGGAGGATACTGATTTTCCCCAAAGGGAACAATGTGGATCATTTGTCAATGTATCTAGATGTTGCTGATTCAGGTGCTTTGCCTTATGGGTGGAGTAGATATGCCCAGTTCAGCTTGAGTGTTGTGAATCAAGTTCATAGTAAATTCTCTGTTAGGAAAGGTATTCTCTCTGCTATTGATGTTCGTATAAAGGAGTGACTTCTATTTAGTATAGCCCGCATAGAACACTACTTTTATTTAGTAATGATTCGTGTTACAAAATTGAATACTAGTGGATTCTTTTTTCCTAAGTTACAGATCATGTCATAATGGTCGAATTGCCATTAATAATTGGTTCAACTTTGGTATTTTGGAATCTGGCGATAAATAAACAGTGATTGAAGAAAATTTATGTCATCTTTTCGTGGTAGTTTGTATCTTAATAAAAAGCTTTTTTTTTTCTTTTTTTTTTTTTTTGGGAAATGTATTCAGTATAGTTCCATTTGATTAAGTACTTTTCTATCTACTATATTTTTCAGTAAGTAGTTGTTTAAATGTCAATAAATTAATGAAGAGTGCGCATGGTAGTGTGCGCGATATGCAGTTTGCTAATTATTGCAGGCCAACATGGTTCTATTTTGGTTCAGAATGATAAGTTTCTGACATAGTCAGTCCATTATATTTTGGTTTAGAATGATAAATTTCTTAACATAGTGTAATTTGTATGTCAATCAGTTTTGACTGAAATCAGAGTAAACAACTTGGCAAGGTCTGGTTAAAAAGTACGTAGACTGTGGTTCCTGGGAAATGTTTTATTTTGCAACAAATGAGTCAATTTACTACTGAATGGTTTATGAACAAAAGCTTTGATTCTGGTGCCTGTTGGACCAATTCTTAAATGTACTAAAAGGTATAGGGCTATAGGCTGTCTGCAAAAGGATGTGTTTGTGTGCGTGTGTATTCATAAAAAATAGATAGATATTAATTATAACATCTAAAGGGTACAGCACACTGCAAACTGACGGTTCCATTGCCTGACTCCCTAAAAGAAAGTATAATTGGAGATATAATAATTCTCTGATGTGATATATGATGACGAGGTGGCATTACTCGTTTACTACCTTTCTCCTTTAATAGAAATATGCCTTTATTTATTACTACAATTTTTTTGGGTGTTCACAATATAATGCCTGTTATAATTGTGTCTTATTGCATTTTGCAGAAACTCAACATCAGTTCAATGCACGTGAGAGTGATTGGGGATTCACTTCATTCATGCCTCTTGGTGAATTATATGATCCTGGTAGAGGGTATCTTGTGAATGATACATGCATAGTTGAAGCTGATGTTGCTGTACGTAGAGTTGTTGATTACTGGTCACATGACTCTAATATTCTGGTAAAATATCATTTATGCCATTAATATTCTTGTAATATATCTTTCATATTCTACTAGATTTTTTTTTCCTGGCGGGATTTTTTGCGTATTCTACCAGAGTATGTTTTATGTTCTACCAAAATATTTTTTAATGGCATAAACAATAGGATAATGAAAAATATTCTTGTAATTTTCTCGTAAGAAAAGTCTGTTGAAGCTCAGGAGGAACAATCTAAGGATTCCAAGCCAACTGATTCACAAGATGAAATTCCAGATGTGCACGGAAGTGAGCATCCTCTGATATCAGTTAATGTGCCTCTGCCCCTAGAGCAATCAAAACCCTCAGCCAAAATTAAAGAACAGTCGGAACAAGAACCTGTTCTGGAGAAAACTAGAGTTCGTACTCAGGCTGAAGATGATCCCTTTTACAATAATGAAAATCCTATTACCCGCTCAACAGTACTGGAAAGTGAGGAAGTTTCAAGTCTTAAGGTGGAGGATACACAAGAAGAAACTAAAATGGTCGTGACCGGCCAATCCATCCCTCTTGTCAATCAGTCAAGTGCAGAGCCTCCCGGGGTGAACTTAGCTTCCCTTTTTTTTTCTCCCCCTATTTTGTTGTTTTTCCATGTCCTCTTAACTCTGTTGAATTTGGCTTTACCTGGTTCTTCTTTATTATGGTTGACCAATTCATTTTTTGCTAATATGATTCAGGAGCCAACTGTTGTAGAAGCAGGAAAAAGATCCTCTTCATTTGCTGAATTTGATAAGTTATTTACTGACATTCAAAATCTCTTGGGAGGAGAAAGTTCTACGGCAAAAAATTTCAGCAGCTTCCTCCCACCTCCATGTAGCATTGAGGAGATTGCCGATGCAAAAAAATTCTTTAAACAATGCCTCAATATGAGTCTTGCTAGTGTCATCCAAATGGACAAAGCTCCTATGCTCAAGAATTCACTTTCTATCATGCTAACTACCGGCAGGTTTCCTAGTAACATGGGAGACAGGACAACGAAGTTTCTAGCGGACATTGACCAAAGTTGTGAGACATATGAACTTGCAAAGCAAGACATAGGTGTGGCCCAAGAGGATGAAATGGCTGTAGGTGAGCTGAAGACCGCTCTGAACCAATTATTTTCAGAATTCATAGCTCTAAGGAATCAAGCTGAGACTGTTGATCGAGAAATAGCTAACCTAGAGAAACAAATGGCTGAAAGGACGGCGAAGAAGGCGCAGCTTAGTAAGAGACTTGAAGATTTGGCTGGTCGAGCAACTACTTCAAAACAGGCACTAGTCAGTGCTGAAGAGAAGATGAGGCTGTCTGCGGTCAAGAAGGAACAAGCGGAGAAGAAGATTGGTGACATGGAAAGGTCATGGGAATCTTTGAAGGTTGATTGTTCTCTATCGCTTTAGTAAATTTGCTGGACATGTGAGGATTGGGAACACGTTATTTCAAGCTTCTTTTTGGAAAAGTACTCTCTCTTTTGGAGAACTGTGGACGTGCAACAGCTAGTTAAAAGAGAAACAAAGCAAAGTCACCGCTAATCCCAATTACTGATTGTTTTGGATCCATGTATTTTCTCTTTTGCCCAAATCTTTTAATCATTGTGTTTGATTGCTAATGTCCATGGGGATCGGGTGTGGCGGTACAGGGTGGAAATTTCTTAGAACCTTGTACACAGAAAAGACCTACAAGCATAATACCTGGACTTCAATGTCATCCGACCACACACTAATGTTTAAGTTAGTGTATGACTAGTGAGAATGTGAGTAGTGTACTGTTTTATGGAGTGTCTGAACTTGTGGTGGTGGATTAGTGTAGAATTTATTGGCACGCTATTCAGTTATCGGTAGACCTAGCCCACTGTGGCTCGGTCGTTACAGCTTTTAAGAAAAATGCATTGCTCGTGTGGGGAGGACGACCCTTTGAAACATCCTTGCAAGGCTTGTTAGGTGACTACATACATCCTCTCGAGTGCCGATGTGTTTGGTGATCAGCATTGTTCGTCGCATCAAGTGAAACAGAGAGCGTGAGCAGATGATCGGGATGGTTGTTACATTCTTCTACTCCAAGGAGGATAGTAAGAATGTGTTTGGCATGGAAGTTGTGTTTGGGGCCGTGCTAGTGGCTGAACACTACCGACTATATAAACAGGTTGATTTGATGACTGTTTTGATGAGAAATGGACATATTACTCTTTTTTTCTTTTTCTTTTTTTTTTCTTTTTTTTGAATTGTGTGGAACTAGCCATGTATTTTTTTGGGGGTAACGAGACATTTTGCACTTAGAAAAACAAAAGGAATTAGATGCCATAATGTTATACATGAAAGTTTTAAATCCGATATATTAACCGTCCACATTTAGTTCCCGGTTGTTATCCAAAATTTCTCATGTTTCCTTCATACAATTACGCCAACTTGTTAATCACTCATGCACCCTCTGTTTTTGGAAATGAAATTACAACTCAAAACATAAATATTGAATCAACAATATGTCCAAATGAAATTTGTCCGCTTTGGGCTTGAGCCTGCTAAGTTTTGCTTTTGGGTTTCACCACAAAATGCCTCATACCATTAGAATGTGGCTTCACCACAAAAGGCCTAATCCTCTGTGCGACATTGATGCCCAATAATTCTCGTACCCCCGGCCTCTACATGCCATTATCCCTATTCTCTTTTCTTATACTTCGATTGCACATAGTTTACGTAGAGGGTGAAATCTTCAATTATAAACAAACTCTATAGATGATTTTACAAAATACATTTTACACCTAAAGTGATTAGACCCACTAGCTTGGAATATTTTCCTATACAAATTGCTCTCGTCAATGTTTTTAAGAGAGAAAGAAGAAGACAGGAAAAAAAAAAAAAAAAGTCACGGCTTGTCTAATCTCAATTAGTGATTGTTTTAGATCATGTAATCTTTCTTGCCATTTTTTTTTAATATCATTGTGTTTGATTGTTAGTGCCCACGGAGGTGCGACGGCGCATTGTAGAAATTGTTTATGTGTTGAAAAAAGAAAAATTGTTCAATGGATTTGCGGTTTTGAAAAATATTCAAATTTTTTGTGAGAGAAATAACCGCAGTAAAACAATAAACGACCCCAATATTTTTTTAAGGCCATGGTAGTGGCGTTCAAGAATGAGACTCACTCAAAATAAACCACTTAGCTGGCCAATAGTCCAAATATTTTAGCCAAACTTCTGACCTTATTTGCTACTTTGATAATTGATTAAAGATAACGAACTATACAGAGCTAACAGCCAAATACCAGCTTGGTAAAATCCTTCCAGGCATTGAAATAACTGCTCCAATATTGATCCATTGGGGTAAAATTTCTCGTTTTTTCCCGTTTCTCTTTGTTCTTTTCAAAACTCATGAAATGGTCTCCTGAAACTTTAAAAAACAAATAAATAGAAATTAGGCTCATAATAGCATCATCTACGTGAACCAAGCTAATTCTTGGTAATAGTAATAATAACAATTATTATTTTGAGGATAGCCCGTAAGAAATTATAATTTCTTGAGGATTGTGTTTAGTTTTCATATAAACTTAATTTAGTTACTTACGTTAAACTGATCCTATACACTTAGTACCTCTGTGTGGCCTCAATTATCAGAATTATCTTTTCTTGGGGCGTAACCTTTGATTTATTTATTTATTTGTGTGGCCTCAATGAAAGTAATAATGACTAATGCCTTTGGATATAATGTGTGTGTGAAGGCCCTTGAGAAACAGTAGTGACTTATTTCTTGCTAAAAATAGTAATCTCAGATTGGTTTTCTTCGTCATCTTTTCTCAAAACCTGGTCTTTGTGCTAGTGATTGTTATTCTGTATTTGTTCTACATCCATATTTCCAGATTTGTCTCTCGTGTTTCTTGATCTATTTCCGTTTTTCTAGTTATCTACATATTATTATTTTGGCTTACAGGAGGATACAGAAGAAGAAACTAAAATGGTCATGACCGGCCCATCCGTCCCTCATGTCAATCAAAGAAATTCTTCAAACAATGCCTCAAGATGGATCTTGCTTGTGTCAACCAATCGGAGAAAGCTCCTGATCTCAAGAATTCACTTACTATCATGCTAACTACCAATAATAACATGGTAGACAAGACAACCAAGTTTGTATCTGACTTTGATCGAAGTTGCGAGAAATATGAATCCGCAAAGCAAGACATAGACGAGGTCCAGGAGGATGAAAAGGCAGTAGGCGAGTTGAAGACTGCTCTGAAGCAATTGTTTTCGGAATTCGTACCTGTAAGGAATCAAGCTGAGACTGTTGATCGAGAAATAGCTAAGCTAGAGAAACAAAATGGCTGAAAGGAAGGCGAAGAATTAAGGCGCAGCTTTGTAAGCGACTTGAAGATTTGGCTGGTCGAGCTACTACTTCGAAACAGGCACTGCTCAGCGCCGAAGAGAAGATGAAGCTGTCTGCTGTCAAGAAGGAACAAGATCAAGCTTTGAAGGTTGATTGTTCTCTATTGCTTTGGTAAATCCTTAAAACAGTGTTGGACATGGGAGAGTTTGGAAAATATATTATATCAAGCTTCTATTTTGCAAGTCAAAAGTTCCCAAGTGGGAAAATACTTTTCTCATTCCTTGTTCTCGTACTGTGGTTGCATAATATAGTGTTTATCTTCATGTTCTATTAACTTCTCAAGTATATGCCTTTTGATGGCCAAATTTGCAGGTGTTTTCTGTGAAAACTTAGCAACTGTCCTTGCTCTTGTGTACCATGAGAAATAAGTAATGCTTTTCATCTGATATATTTTTAAGGGAGAAAGAGAGAAATAGGTCAAGACTTTAATAAATTAAAATTAATAGGCCAATAGTTTCTATAAGTTAATAAATAGGCCAAATTACTATTTTCGTTCATAATTTGTCCGGTTATGAACCATAGCTTAACAAGTTATTGTTCATAATTCACAGTTTTTGTTCATAACTTGTCTGACTATGAACCATAACTTGATAAGTTTGTCCATAATTTATCTGGTTATGAATCATAACTTGACAAGTTATGACCTATTAATTTCTATAATTAAAAATTGGCCTATATACTTTCTTAAACTTTTCATATTGGCCTATTTTTTACTATTTTCCTATTTTTAATGTATATGTTGAATCAATTCCCATATAATTGAGGATTCAATTACAATTGATCTGTTTTATTCTGTTATTAACAAAAGGCTACAAGTCGTTTTGTAAGTTTGGAAGAATGTTGAATTGTCGTACAAGCTCAACGACAGCGTTTGAATAAATGAAAGGAAAAGCTGACGTGGCTACGCAACAAATACAAAAGTCTTCTGATTGGCTGGTGCGCAACGGTCATATTCAGCAGCATTTATGAATTTATATATTAGTTATAACAGAATTAGTTTCAGGAGTTATATACTTATCTGAGAAGAAAAAAAATCAATTTCTGGGTTTGAGAGATTGATGAGTTGAGAGCAATTTTGTAACAGAAAAAACCTAAGAATGAGAAAGGGGGGTTAGAGCAAGAAAGGGAGAGAGAAAAGGCATTATTTTCTCGGGAAAATTTTCTTGTGGGTTTTCTTTGGGTAAGGTTATATTTCTGAGAAATTGTTCTCGCTGTAAACTGTTGTAATTGATCGTTCTTTCTATAGTGCAAATCGAACTTTTTCTGGGGAGTTTGCGGGGACGTAGGCATCAATTTTGCCGAACTTGATAACAAATTTTGGTGTTCTTTCTCTTGTTTTTCACATTCGATTGATTCAGAATTGAAACTGGTGTTAGATAAATTTCCAACAGTATAAATACTAGTTATATTGTTTAGAGATTGCTTCTGAGAGTTTTCTTGCTTTATAAAAACCGTAATGGTGTGTGAGTTAGAGAAAATCTCCGTAATTCCTCGTTGTTTTGCGACTTTGTCTGTATTCGTGTATTCTTGAATATTCAAGGATTTCTACAATATTGTTTATTGGCAAAAGCAACTGCAAAACAAGAACACTCAGAGGCACGATGTTCAAAAGTTTGTTTCTTTTTGGTTTTTTTAAAGATGAACGATGGTTTTTTTTTCTTATTAAAATATCTTTTTCCCTTTTTTTTTTGGAAAGAAAAACTTATATTCAAACAAAAATAGATAAACAAACAGTACAATACAAGACTGATGACCCGATAGAGAGACGGACGTATACTAGAGACTCAAAAATGGGAGGTAACCTCGGTACACTAAGATCGAGCACACCTAAGGCTCTAGTTAAAAAAATCTCTCCCATCAAAATAAGTTTCTGAGCGCTGGAGGGACAAAACCCCAACCACAACTCAGAGAGGACATCAACATCATGACACATACAATATTCTAACTTGACCAAACAATCCACATCGATGGAGAAACACTCAATCGGGTGGAAAACATAACCAACACCAGACGATGAGAAAACCACCTCCGTTATTAAAAAAACAAATAAAAAGTGGCGAGAACAACATCGTCACACTTTTATTACGTTCTAAAACACAAAACAAAACAAAAAGAAAACCTAAAGCACAAGCCTCCAACAATGACGCAATCGGCAAGAAGACCACGAGAGAAGGAAGAAGGCTTCGAGAGTCAAGCGGCAAAGCCGCCGAAAAGAGACCATTAAATGGAAACAAATGATTCACCTTCGCCACCGTTGCTAGCCTCTGGAGACAGCACCACCCCTGCCAAAGGAAGCCCTCCACCACCAAGATCGAACATGCGAGAGGACCTAGCCACCCAACGTTGACAGTGTCAAAAAACGCCTCCCAAACGTTCGGTTTCCAATTTCTAAACAAAGCCCAATTCGCCCTAATCAATCGACCCCACAACACACTACTATCACCATTGAAAAGCCCTCGACAAGACAAGCTCGGGGACCAATTTTCATCTCCAGGAGCCTGGTGACGTGCCTAAAGGCGGTGCCGGAACTCCGGCCAACACTCAAACTTCTTTTCTTTCTCTCTCTCTCGTTCTTCTCTGTCAAAACGGCTAGGGTTTTTAGGAAGACAGTACTTTTCAAGTCCCCTAATTTACTCTATAAGTTTAAAATAGTTTTCTTCAAGTACGTCCCTATTTAAATATTTTTTTCCCACATTCCTCTAGAATATTATTTTCTCAAATATGTCCTTAGTAAATACTTTTTAAACTAATTGCCCCACCAAATAATTTTTCTAAAATTTGTCCTTTTTTAATCTAATATTTACTATTTAAAGGTTTCGACCAAAACGCGATACTTTTTTTTTACTTCAACAATTGAAGGTCAAACACATGCTTGCTTCTTCTTCTTTTTTTTTTTCCTTAAACGTTTCTCATTAAAATGGTTTTTTTTTTCCTAATTTGCCCATTAAATAAATTTTTCTCAAATATATTCACACTTAAACATTTTTTCAAGCAACTAAAATATTATTTCTTAAATATGACCCTTATTAATACTTTTTTCCTAATTATCCCCTAAAATAAATTTCCTAAAATGCATCCCTTCTTCTAGAAAATCTTATATTTACTATTTAATTGTTTCATCCAAAACACATTTTGGATTTCGCAACAAGTCTTGAATTATTTAAGTCTTGGGCAATAGCCGATGGATGTGGTTTGGGCATTGCCTTTCAGATCGGCAACCTACAGTCACAATTAAATCAGAGTCCACGCAAATTTTTTTATTTTTTATTAGGAATGGAGATAAATATCTTTTAAAAGTGTATGGGTCAGAATTTTTATCTTTTATTCTTAATTATTAACTTTTTTTAGCCAAATAACTATACTAACAAAATTGCATGTACTCTAAAATAAACTCTGCATTTTTTTCTTTTTTATTTTCACAAATATTGTAACTTGTGAATCTCTATGCACTATACTATGTATAGAAAAGAAGATGCATTTGTTTTTTCCAACTTTTTGTATTCAACCATTTCAGTTATCATTTTATATATGTTAAATTTTATCTTTTAATAGCTGTTACACTATTATTTTAAAAAGATTATGATATTATTTTGGGTTATTAGTACAATTTGTTCAGAAATTATGAGCATGTGTGACTTTGATTCATGGACTTCTAATTTTAATAAATTAGTCTCTGAAATTTTCTTTTACTATTTTGGTCCCTGACAAAAAAAAAAATTGATTAAAGATCTCTAGAATTTCATAGAGAGAATCACATTCTAGTCACATAATAACAAAAAATTTTAACTGATATAGTTGCATTAAATGCAAAATGTTCACTTCCTTCTTGTTAAAACCCTTAAAACCTAGAACCTTTTACATTTAAGGTAACTATTTTCATAAAAGTTTTATTTTGCCATGCATTTGGGAGGTGAATATCTCTAATAAATTTCAGAAATCAGTAGCCAATTTTAACGTCAGAGAAAGACTTCCAAAAAATCAAAGTTTAAGTAGTAATTTGTTAGAAATACTCCTCCGTTTATTCATTAACATGTTTTAAAACTTTTATTTATTTATTATTTTTTTATGAAAGTTTTAAAACTACATTCAAATATGCTTAAAGTGATTTTTTTTTCTCTCTCAGTGGTGAAAGTATGGAACTACCGAAAGGACCATAGCAGAAAATAAATAAATAAATAACCGAGATGGGGCTCAAGGCCACAACAAAATCATACAAGAATTGCAGACTTTTCATCTTATATATAAGTCCTGTGGCATGTCCATCAAAGGTGTGTTTTTTAACATCAAGTTGCTTGGAGTTGACCGCGCCTCCTATCTTCTTGGGTCGGCGATCGGTAAGATTTTGATGGCATGACAACAGTAGTATTTTCAAATTGTGCAAATTATAGACTCTATTAGGTAACATTTTCAAGTGACTGGAGGATAAATCCAAGTATCTTGGATGTTTTAAAGATTCATAATAAATTGTTCTCAACTATTGGAAGCCTAAAATGTATAAAGGTTTAAGAAGTCAGAAATAATACTCTTTCTTCAAGGACTCCCACGACCTTTCAATGTCACCAACCGTCTCCTCCGCTTGTTCCTTTCTGTGCATAAACAGCTTCATTTCCTGTTCGGCATTGATCAGCGCCTGCCTTGATGTACTTGCTCGACCAGCCAAATCTTCAAGACTGGTCCTGAGCTTTGTTTTCTCTTCTTTCCTTTCAGCCAACTGTCCCTCTAGCTCAGCAACTTCTTGATCAACCTCTTTAGCTCGATTCCTTATAGGTGTGAATTCAAAGGACAATTCCTTCAGAACAGTCTTGAGCCTGCTTACTGAGTTTTGCATCTCTTTGGCGTCTCTTAGCTCTTGCTCTGCAGACATGTATAACTCACAACTCCGGTCGAAGTTTGCTAGAAACTTGGTCATCTCATCCACCATATCATCGGGAAAGGCATTTGCAGTAAGCAAATTGGAAAGTGAATTCTTGAATTCAAGCGCTCTCCCCAATTTAATGACACTGACAAGCTTCATAGCGAGGCATTTTTCAAAGGTTTCCCATGCAGCGGCAATCTCATTATCAGTAAGTTGAGAGGGCTGCAAGCTGGCCGAATAGCCTTTTAAGACATAATTAATGTCGGAAAACAACATGTCTAATGCAGCAAAGGAAGAGGAACCTATTTCTCCGAAAGTTGATTCCTGAAACAAAGTAAGAATAGCATTGGAGGACATAACAAACCAAAGGTAAAATAGAACAAAGTGAAGCTGACTAGTATTGGGTCATGGCCGTTATAGTTTCTTCATGCACATCCGTCCTCTTAAGAGTCGACTTCCTCACTTTCTAGTACAGATGAGTAACAGACTTTTCATTACTGTAAAAGTTATTAAAAGGATCACGTTCAGCCTGAGTATGAAGTTTCGTTTTCATTTTTGTTTTCCAATGAAAAATGATACCAAATGCTATTCCAGAACCATTTTCAAAAGACACATCACAAATCTCAGGAAATATGTGAAAACGTTTCCAAAACAAAATTAAACAGGCCTTAGTTTCCTCCAGAACAGGTTCTTGCTCCGACTGTTCAATTTTGGCTGAGGATATTGATTGCTCTGGGGGCGGATTCCCTGTTGTCAGGTTCTTCTCACTTTAATATTTACCCAAAGTCCTGCTTATCGTAATAGGTATATAATGGAAACATTACGGTAACAACAAATGCTAGCATCACTCTTTCTGTCACTTTATGCATTTATTATTTGACATGTGAACTCCACTAACATGATATAACTATTTGGCACGTGGACTCCATATATTATTTTCTGTTTAAATAATAATATATCATGCTAGTGGAATTCACGCGTCAAACAGAGTGACAAAAAGAGTGATGCTAGCATTTCTCTTGCAGTAATTTGTGGTTTGGAAGTCGAGAGTTATGAGTATTAAAACACAGGTATATTTAGCAAATCAAAGCTAGGAGATTATCTCCCACCCACCCCCCCACCCCCTCTCTTCGCCACTGCCAGAAAGAAGAAATTCCAATGTAATGTGACTTTATGAGAAAAGAATATGGCTATGCCAGCTAGGTGAAGATCCTACTCATTGAATCCAGTTGATAGTTTTCTGTGATAACTGAACCAAATGATCCTCCCATTTCTTTTTTCTTTCATTAAGAAGTTAGAACCTAAACATTGTACTAGAAACTCATCCGCTTCCTAGCTTTGCCAACTATTCGAATTGCTTCCATGAATTCTAGTACAAAACTATTAACATTTCTACAAAGGTTTTAGTCACAATCTGTAAAGCTATCCTTTCTTTTTTATTTAACTGCTGAGCTATTGCTACAATTGAGGTGATCCTAAAGTGACAAAGAAGCATACATCATAGGGAATTTTGCTCCGCAATAAAAAGAATAGAAAAAGGAAAAGCCAATACCTGGCGTTTGAGGCCACGCACAAACTGAAAGAAAGAAGGAATATCTGGATAGCGACACTGTCCACTAATTTCAGCTCGAACTTTCTGAAACCAAATGACGCCACCATTCACAAGCTGGAGAAAATTATAAGAAAAGTGTGGTGAGACCGAAGAGGAAATAGGAACTTTCATTGAAGCAAATATTAGATTATACCTAATCCTGACTTCCAAACCACTCCCCAAAAAAGGGAAACTTAACCAGAAAATATGAAAGCAGTTAACTATAGCTGGTTTGTATTTACAAAGAAAAATAGTAGGAAATTAGCCTTTGACAATATATACCGGACTAACACCAAATGCGAAGCTCAGCCAACTGGGTTCATCAGACAAGATATAGGGTTCAACTTCAAACCTTCTCTCCTGCATACTCAAAGAGGATACTTAAGGTCATGAGTGATAAAGGTAGGACTAGGTAATCCAAACGAGTGAAACACCGACACCAAGTAACCTCAAAAAGTTCAATTTTGTCATTACGAGTGAATCCAGCCATTTTGTTTAACTTTGTCAATATCTCGACAGGCTCCTCATGTTTGTTTGCAAACAGCCTCCCGACATACCTGCTATCATATAAAATATATCATCAGCAGCTATACTGAGGAAAGAGAGAGAAGATGAGAGAGAGAATGCGTACCGCAGCTCCTCTTTCAAAGGATCATAATGCTTGAAGAATAAAATTGTATCATCATCAGTCTTTTCTGGAGGAGCAACAGGTTGCATATCCTAAACAATTGTGAAATGTAAGACAGTACAGTAAAGGATTCATCATTCCAGTTTAAAAATCTAGAAACAAATTCATCATTCAAGAATAAGGTAAAGTGTTATAGAGTGGCTGAGATAACATTACCGAATCAAGTTCTACTTCCAAAAACAGCTTTAGCTCTGCACAAATTTCCGTGCTGGAAAATTCTCCCAATTCACCAACCTACGGTATTCGGTTTTTTAACGATCAAAAGAGTGCACGCTCAAGAAAACATGGATGAAAGTGATAAGCCTTTACTCAGGAAAGTGTCTGTTAGGAGGCACAAGTGTGTGCAGTTGGGTGAGTACTGGTTTTGTTATTGGTTTGGGCATGTGGTTATGTGAATACATTGTAATCAGTTGTATAAGGGGTGGGATTGTGTACATCACAGTGGAAAGAGTCGTTGGTTGGTTGGTTAGAGTGTTTGTTGCAGGTTGTTGAAAAGAATAAAAAGAAGAGTAGTAGAGAGGGAGGGGGGATTGGAAAGCAGAGAGTTGTCTTGGGAAAAGTCTTGGAGAATTTCCAAGCAGGGGAGAGAGTCCAGTTTCTCGAATTACTGGAAAATTCGCAATTAGTTGTACTATCTCCTGAATCTTTTTTTAATAAAGTTTCTCAGTTTCATTCATTTGTGTTTACATTTGTGAGAAATAGCCTTAGCCTGTCATAAAGCAGTCCATTTCTGTTTTAAAAATTAAAAGTTCAAAACAAGTACATATTGATATTGCTCAGAGAAGATATTTAAGCCAGAAAAATTAACAAAATTTAGTGCCAGAAAAATTACAAAATTGACGTGCAACACAAACACCATTACAGATTAGCTTCACAGTCGCCCACCCTCATTACAATTTCCCAGAACAACCTGACTAAATCTTCTACATGTCTGTTAATACTCCTCAATTGTAAGGCAACGTTTAAAATGTACGTGTCAGATTATGATGAAAATTCATAGTCTGATTCAATTAACTATCCAAAATTTAATTTCTGATTTATTGAAGATACCTAATTTTTTAGCAAGAAAAATACAATAAAGGAAAATAAATACATAGGAAAACAGAATTGCACAACCACCCTTTGTAATTCTTTCCTTTTTCTAGAGGGCTGAATTGTGTATATTGTCTTTAACCTACTTTATTCAATCAAGGTTGGAATACACTCGTCTTCCTCCATGGTCAACGGAGGCTTATCATGTAACCTTTCCGTAGAAAGTCTTATCAGTTCTTCAATCTCTCCCGTGAAACCCACTATGGACCCGTTTGATTCATGGGTTCAAACCAGAAGGTTTGAATCAAATTCAACTTTTTGTGAGAAAAAACACTACTACAACCATTTGGACCGGGATTTGAACCCTTTACCACACATGCTCTAAGAATTTCGAATTTCAAAAGACAATAGACTGGCAGTGAAGAAATAACCGATTGAATGAAAATGATATATGATACAATCAAATATCCTCTATAAGTAGCTATCAAGCATAATGAAATAAGGGAGCAGTTCTTTTTAAAGCAACCAAACCTCCACTTGCAGCTATTGCAGACAACTTAGGGACCTGCCTCAATCATTAGTATACACATTTGATGAATCAACTAGGTTGACCATAACCAGACAATGACATTGATCCTATCAGTAAGTGTTTCTCTAATGCAATCAGGTTAATTCTCTCGCTTTGTTTTTGTTTTTTTTTTTTTTTTTTAATAGGAATTATAAAGGATGGATAAGATATGAGGTCAAAAAAGCCTACGAATGCCTTAAAAGCCGCATTAAAACTTACAAGTGACACGAGACAATAGATTGTTCAACATATGAATATGCAATCTTACAGTTTGTCTTTCCTCCAACGATGTCAGTGGCTTGAAAAACCTGTAAAGGTGATTTTCGAATGCCGCCCACCGCCAAAATCGTTGACAATGCTTTGGTATGCCAAACTCTTTAGCAACCTTTTCCTGACAGAAAACTTAATAGTTAGAATCATGATAATGGTAAAACATAACTATAAATAGCGCTTATAATTAATTTCAACTAAAAATTCTACAATCTTCAACAATATTTAAAGGAAGTAATTGATTCAAGTGTCAACGCAAAAATAGGAGTTTTCCCCACACAACGCTCTAATCCTTGAACGTTTATAATTTTTCATATGATTCGACAATTTTAGTGTACACTTAAGGTACATAGATCGGATTATTTGAGCCCTTAAAAAAAAAAGAAATTGGGCCCCGCATTTCTTCGATGATATTAAAACTTACTCATATGCTCAGTCTACTTATTGAAAACTCCTAAGGAAACTAAATGAAATGCCAATTTCCAATAAAAAATTAGTTCCAGAGTACCTATGGAATGACCTTGAACATCTTCACCAGCATGCAACTACAAAACATGAGGTAAAAGGTATTTTATAGAGACAAAAAAAGGAACATTACCTTAAATTGGTAGAAAGGCTCCTCATTCTTGACAATAAAGCTATGAACTTTGTCATGATCTACATGATCAAAATATGTATCCTTTCCTATCTGTTTAGTTAAATCCTCATCACGGGCAACCTAGAAGCCAAACAAACATCAGAGTTAAATGATGTAACACAAGTCAAATTGATTTCTTATAAGCAAATCAAAATGGTAGACAAATAAATACTTTAAGCCTTTGTTCTTATGGGAATAAGAAGCCCTGGTAAAACTGCCATAATGAATTTGATATTATCAATTGAACTAAATCAAATAGCTCCTTCAGTGGATTATGAAGCAACTAAGGTCAGGGGAATATAAACTTTGAAGAAAGAATGACACTACTAAGACATTAGACATGGAAATTGTTATACTTTAGTTTTCACCCGTCAAAGTCAACCTTCCACATCTCCGTGGAACGGTGGAAGCTAGGGAGCTAAAGTCTTCTGTATTTTAGAAGTCATTTAAGAAGCTTTAAATGACAAGTAAAAAACCTCAGTGTCTATTGCTCGATGATGAGAAACAGCCATTCAATTCCAAGAATCAAGATTATGACGAAATAGTTGTTGGTATGTAATAAAACCCGGATCTAGGAGACCAATCCATGCGAAAATAAGCATCAATCGCATAGCGATCAGTTAGACAAAGAAAGAGCTCAACATAAAAAATACACACACACACTTGGAAATCATATTAAACGAGATTAGCCAAATACATAAGTTTTGCAGGTTATGTTAGACCCGGTCTACCAGGGAGTTTTAAATAAAGAGGGATCGGTCCCCTTATATGGGATCCGCCCAAGAAAAGACCTTGGAGGTGTATATGCAACATAGATTGCATGTTAGCAAGCAACCATCTATTCCAGAAGTTGCATACAATATGACAAGTAAGACTTAAATTCTTTTCCTCAATGAAAGAGCTCATCTTTCATGCTTAAAGGTTCTTATACCTAAAATGCTTTCATACGTCAAAAACTCTCATGCCTCAAAGACTCCCATACCTCAAAGGCTCTCATGCTATAAGGGCTCTCACTCCTCAAAAGAGCATTAGATAGAAAGCGTATGAAGTTCCAAGTCCTTGTCGATGAGATAAGAACCTCTAGCGGCGGAGCCAGAAATTTTTTCCACGGGCGTAAGATAAACCAAAATTTTGAAGGAAAATAACTACATAAATCTTTGATCCTCTGAGGTTGGTGGATTTTTACCGTGAACAGAAATGATTCCCAAACAGTGATTATATCTCAATCTTGACTTTTTTTTCCGCTTGTAGTGCCACTTTTAACTTCCCAATAATTAGAAAAAAAAAAAAAAAAAAAAAGTCTAAAAGATAACCCAAAAAATCTAGAGAATCAATGATAACATCCAAAACACCCTTATTTTAATAAGCGATTAAGACACACCCATTTTTGGAAAGACATGATTCCGCACGTGTACAAGAAAATTGTTATGCAGAAGCCATCGATGTTAGCAAGTTTAATTGAACATCATGATCAGACAAGCACCAGACAGCACCATTAAAACAAAATTAAATCTATGGAATTGCAATTGATTCACTTCTTTACAGTTTTCCTCTAAGTCCAACTTTTCACAAGAAACTTAAAGTAAGGAAATTGTACATAATGACTTAAAAATAAGAGGTACAAGGACTTAAACATGTGTCAAGCAACTACAAATTAGTGTTACCTTTACAATAGTATAGAGGTCTGCTTCAGATTCTTCCAAACGATTCAATCTTACCTGCAACGTGACACGAACAATGCTTTTTTGAACACAAAATTTGGAAACTCAAGTCCTTCCTAAAGTAATCAATACCCAATAACAATATACCTCCGCTACAACGATACATGTATCTTTCAAAATGAAACCGCTAGCAGAAGAATTTAGTTCAGTAAGAGGAATGAATGAAGCGAAACCACAGTCGCTCTCCCTTGCATTGAACATATGTTGAGTATCTGCAGAATACAAAATGAACACAATTTTAGCTAGGCGCGTAATCGGTATCGCTATCCAATAATGCTAATCCTACTTCATGCTAGTAACTTCTCTAGAGGAACCACTCAAGTGGTTGGGTGCGTGAGTGTGTGATCTAGGATCTATTTGCATATGTTGTCAATGGGTCTGTGCCGCTGGTCATGGCAGTGGTTCCGGACTGCTCATTCTCTGCGGAATCCCTTGAAGAGCAGAGGTCCTACTTACTCCGGTCATGGCAGTCTTTGCCATTTAAAACTTAAGAGCTAGCTCTAATACCATGTTAGTTTACTAATCAATTCTAAAAGCTTAAGCTATTAGGAGGTGGGCCAACAATAGCTTTTATATTTTAACAGAGAGAATAGCATACCCCTTTTAACTGTGTGTCTACTATGAACTTGATTCACAACACTCAAGCTGAACTGGGCATATCTACTCCATCCAGAAGACAAAGTTTCCGAATCAGCAACGTCTAGATACATTGACAAATGATCCACAATGTTCCCTTTCGGGAAAATTAATATCCTCCTGCGCGTTTCGATTAAAATTAGAATGTTTTATTGCCAATAGACATGACTGATTAATTAACAACATTAACAAATACGACAAAATTTAGTTACCATTTGTAGCCTCCTGCAGAGAAAATATCAGAATAGAGCTTCTTGACATTAAGCTTTGAAAAGTTATCAATTGTCCATGTGAAACGCCAACTTGAAGTATCACCCAGTGACTGAAATTCCACGGTACTTGATTTTTCTGCTTTCAGCAACTAAAGTTAGTTAACAAATTAAGTTAAATAAAAATCAAGCATCTTGATTGAATACCCACAACAGGAATTCGAAAAGCAAGAAAAAAGAAAAAACATAATTTTGATAATTAAGCTCATACAGAGATTACTTAGTGTACAAGATCAACTTAATAATAACTAAAGTTTATCAAAAACTTAAAAAAAGAAACAAAAAAAAAAACTATTTCTATTATTTCTTACTAAGAATTTCTGCTGAATTTTCAACTGATCACAGAGAGTAACGAGGAAAAAGGAGAGGATTTTATTACCTTCCATGAGCTGAAGACCGTGACTGAGCGATCAAGAGAGAGAATTGGCGACAATGTGGAGCTAGAAATCGGAAATTATATATAACACGTAGAAGAAAAAAAAATGTTTAACATTATAAAAATTAAAAAAAAAAAGCTCCTTTCTTTTTGCAGAACCTTTTTTCTATGTTTTGTCCTATTTGAAACCTTACCGAAGAAGTAATCTTCTTCTTTGGGTTCTATTTGTGAATGGCGGGTCCTAACACAATTTAGTTAAATTTTAGTTAAAATTCAGTTAAAATGTTTAACATTATAAGAGTATCTCTGTAACTCTATATTTAGTAAAAATAATTAAAAAATTATTTTAACTAGTAATTTTTAATTAATACATTATAATTATTTATTACGCTGTTTATTTTAATTAAATATAAATTATTTTAATATTTATTAAACTTAAAAATATAAATAATATTATTAAATTTAAAAAAAACTTTTACGAATTTATTATAATTTGAAAGAATAAAATAATATAAAAAATTAAATGACTAGTCACTTCTTGTTAGTTAAATTTAGTTAGTGTAAAATGAGTTCTCCAAAATAATTGACCATTTAACTAATAGTTAGAGTGGAGAAAAGGTAAATGCTAACTAAATCATTAGTTATTTTAACTAAAAATATAAAATAACTGGCATAGTTAAAATTGTTCTAATAGCTGACTGGATAATTACACAATTTGGGCCCACAATTAAAGAACGACAATCGATAATAAGGAGTATTTTGTACATATGTTTAAAACTTAAATAATAATTTTATTACAGAGAATTTAATTCTCTCGCAAAAATTTTGAATCAAAACTCAAATCATATTAAGGAAATGAGTTCAAAATAATAACAATCAACATTAATCACTAGTGTAGTTTTAGTTGTTACTCGATATTCACCCACAAATGGTATTATTGCTTTAACCATTATTACTTTCACTATAGATATTAATCAGACGATTGTAATAAATTAAGTAGTTAAACATAGAAAATATATGACAATTAAAGAGATTAAGGGCCAGTTTGACATTATTGTGCTGTTAAAAATTTTTGTTGTTGCTGTGACCAAAAGTATATAGGTGTTTGGTACATATTTTTAAAATGTTGTTATGAATACCAAAACCAGAAATTTAAGTGTTTGATAAACTCTGTATAAAATAATTGTTGAAATGTAAGATGATGAAAGTAGACATAATTTATCACACGTATTTATAGTTAGTTTTATTTATATTTTTGTGGTCAATATTCATAATATAAATATATATATATATTAAATTTATTAGTTAAAATAGTTCTTAAAAATAAATCACTTTTATTCAAAAAGAAAAATTATTAATCTACAAATATTTGTTATTGTTATTTTTAAAAATTTTGATAATTATTTAAAATATTTGAATGAAATTTAATATAGCATACTTATTAAAGATTTTTAATTTTTAAATAACTATTTTAAAAAAAATATATATTTTTAATTTGGTATGGAAAAAGTAAAATAGGTATATTGAAAATTAAGTCTTATTATTAAAGTTATCTTAGTAAATTTAGATGATGGTAGCAGAAGCTATTGTGTAAAGCAACCTCTGACCTGCTTCTCAATTATTTTAGAAGCTGTTGGACAAAAGCATGATTTACCAAACACCATAAGCTGTTGTAATTTCTTTAAAAAAGCTAAAAGCATCTTATAAAATCAATGTGAAACGTACCCTAGTTTCTTATCATGTTACATTATTTAATTTGTATATTTAATAGTAGCCACATATTAAAACGTAACCTTTAAAACTCATACACTTTTCTCATTTATCCATTTTCATGGTAATTTAATACATAATTTTTCATACACTTACGGTAATCATGACAACTTTAAAGTGTCTATTTAGCATTGCTTTTAAAGACTGCTTTTAGCTTTTCATAAAGAAATTACAACAAGCCAGGGTGTTTGTAAATCTACTTTTGTCTAGCGGCTTCAAAAATTGCTGCCCCAATAGCATAATTTGAGAAAAAAATTAGGAATTACTCTTGCACAACTACTTCTACTGTCATTGTCGAAATTTACAAAAATAACCTTAATATTTGAACTCAATTCTCTATTTATTTGTTTTATTTTTCATACTAAATTAAAAAATACAATAATTTAAATATTATTTAAGGTTTAATAATCTTTAATAAATATAGTATGCTAAATTGTACTCAACTATTTTTGATAGTTATACAAAATTTTAAGAATAACAACAATAAATAATTTAAGTAATTTAAAATTGAAAGTTTAAACCTTTTCTTCAAACCAGCATGATTTAAGGTTCAAACTAATTAATTTGAACCTACGAATCAAACGAGAGCTTAGTGTTATATGTTTCTAGTAACAATATCTTCTAAATAACAATACAAAAATAGTAAAAAATTTTAACAATACAATAATACCAAATAAATTTACCAAACACTTACTTACTTTTAATCACAAATAGGAATAAAAAGTGAGATAGAGACTTGTTTTTATGGTAATTCGCAGACTCTTATTGCTCGTGATATTTTTTTTAGGAAGTTTCTCATAGTCCTTAAAAAAATAAATTATTAATAATCTCTTATTATTTTTCAACTGTTAAATTTATATTAAAATTTATCTATTTTATATATTTTTTAATTTAATATAATTTTAATCATATTTAATAATAACAAATTTAGAAGACGTTTGATTTATGTATTTAAAATTATGATTCAGAATTATTTTCATTTTACGTGTATTTTTTATAAAAAAATATTATAAAAAATTATGAATCATGATTCAAAATCATGAACGAATATAAAAAATAAACGTCACCTTAAACTACTGCTAGACCGGCTACCTGAGGGGGTAGTCCTTTTTTATAGTTGAAGGCAAAACTTGGTATGGATGAAGCGGCTAAACAACCCAAATAACCGGAAACGCTAGCGTTTAACATCAAAAGCACTGCCAGCCAAATGAGCGTTTTCATGCCGCTTCTCAACCTTTATTCTTCTTTTTCAACTTCAACTTCAGCCGCTACCTCTCCGATGGCTGTTCCAACCCTCCTTCCTCATCACCCTTACTCTAAATCCTCTTCTCTTCTTCTCTGCTCGCCGCCACAACCCTCGCCATCTTCTTCTTCTTCTTCTTCTTCTTCTCTTCCTTTTGCCAGAATTTCCTCTCTCTCCATTTCCCGCCCCAACCACTGGCGTTCTCTCGCTCCCGTCGTCAGAGCGAGCCTCTCCGCCGTCGAGTCTCGGGCGACTTCCGGCGGCGAAGGCGAGAAGAAGCTCCTCCTCGAAGTCAACGATTTGACCGCCGTCATAGCCGAGTCCAAGCAGGAGATTCTCAAGGGCGTTAATCTCACCATCTACGAAGGAGAGGTTAGTCGATCAATGAATCAATTTGTCAATCTCCGCCGTCAATTTGGAAATCCGCTGTCTGATTGTGGATGATTATTATTATTATTTTTTTTTGATGTGTTTGTTTAGATTCATGCTGTGATGGGGAAGAATGGTTCTGGGAAGAGCACGTTCTCTAAGGTAACTGATTTCTCGAGAATTAGATTATTTCTTGCAAAATTTATAACCTTTTTTAGGTAATTATTACTTTTAAGGGATAAATTACAAAACATTCCCTTGTGTTTTAAAAAATGTGAAATGTGGCGCCTATTTCCTGCTTTTAAGCCTCCTAAAGGGAAGATTTTACAAATTTATAAATTGTAGTGTTGACACGATTTGTCACAGGGGATAGGTGCAACATTTTTGAAAAAATAAGGTAGAACGCAACAGTATGATAAAACATTAAACACCGGGAGGCTTTTGTTATAATCCCATAATTTAATTAGTCGGAATAGTACTTAGGGACTGCTTGGTTCACGTGTTTAAATCAGTGATTTTAATTCATTGGTGGGAACTTTGTGAGAAAACCATCGGTGAAAAGTTTTTAAATTTAAATTCTTTGTAAGAGAAAAACACTGTAGCAAAATTGGCCCTTAATCGTCTAGAAAAGGGCCAAATGATATTTTAGATGAATTCTTCTATTAACTATTAGTTTAGTTGCTCAGTTGGTAAAAAAGAGTATATTTCATTTGTCACTTTAAAATTTCCAAGGGACTAAAGTGTGCTTAATCTGTTAAAAGGGCTGATATAAATGGTTCTTCTGAAAGCTATACTACTAGTTCCTCCTCTTTAATTTTATGTAAAGTTGAGTCTTGGATAAGATGAAATGTGTTACAACCGAACCTAGGAGGAATAAATATGAACGGACGTACTCTAGAGGAGTTCGCAACGTTTTCGGTTGGGGAAGGGATGTGAGTGCGTGAGGAAGGTTGCTGAGCTGGCTTAGACGGTTAGGCTAGGCTAGGGAATAATGCCTAGAGAGTAGGGTGGTTACAACGGATTGAGGGGTTTAAGGGAGAGAATGGGGTAGGAGAAAGGGATATCGAAAGAGAATTATTCTTACTGTTTTGTATTCCTGGCCGAGCTGAGCTCGTGGTTGTTCCAGTAACGATTAATGAATTGGATCCTTTGGTTGAGGTTCCTCCAGTAGTCTAGCTGTGGTGTTTTCTCGTGTGGTTGTGTGTTGATTTGTATTGCAGGTACTCGGAAGCCTAACATTTTGGTATCAGAGCGCGCTACAATCTGGGAGAGGAGAGAATGACGAAGGGTGGAACTCGTGGTGATCGCGTGGAGGAATTAGAGAAGAAGTTGGATGAATTGACCATGAAATTGACAGGGTTAGACCGATTGGAGTGTCTCAAGGGCTTACCTTAGCTTGTGTCTAATCTCGTCAAGGAGTGTCGAGAATTTCAGTCGCGAATTGCCGGATTCCTTGTCAAAGGAACGGGGGAAGGAGGCGGTTGCCGCTCCTGCTGCAGGAGTAGAGGAGACCACCATGGGAGCAGGACAGAGTGAACCTTGGGATCTAACGTCCACCGGTGTTCCTCCTGCACGACGGCCGCACTATACGGTACGAACGGATGGACTGCGACCTCGAGGGGCAGCACCTGAAGTAGAGCCGCCACCAACCTGGGCAGCAGGCCGATATAACCAAGAAAGGAGGCGCGGCCCTGAGCGCTGGGAGGTTGGTGGTGACCGACGGCGGTTCGGAGAGGAGTTTCCGCCATGGGCTGGAGGCGAGCCCCCCAATCCGTTTCCTCATCGACGGAGGATTGGAGGGAGTCCACCTCGTGTGGATTTGCCCCCCTTCGACGGCGAGGGGTGGCCGGTCTGGGAGAGACGGGCGGAGCGCTATTTCCGGGTCCACATGATCCGACCGGATGTACGCGTCCAGGTGATTGCTGATTTCCTCATCGGGAAGGCTTGGGAATACTATGAGTGGGTCATAGAGGAAGAGCCGGGCATGGATTGGGAAAAGTTGAAATTCTCCTTCGGGCAACATTTTGGGCCTAGAGAATTCAGGTCAGTTCAAGAACAATTGGTGGGCCTGAGACAGAGGGGCTCCGTGGCAAAATACGGGGAACAGTTTCAGGAGTTGTCAGCCCGAATTCGTGGAATGGACCGAGCTACCACCCTGGGAATTTTTTTGAATGGGCTGAACCAGGAATTGCAAGATGATGTCCGGATGTGGCAACCCAGGAATGTACATGAGGCTATTCAATTGGGCCTCCAGCTGGAACACAAATTGAAGGCCCAAGGAACACGTGGAAGGGGAGGCCACTTATCACCCTTCCAGTCCCCACTCCAAACGACAAACCGTTTGGGGACCAATAGGTGGGGGTCAGCTTTTATGAGCAACCCGCGTCCCTTATTCGGGAATACCCAAAAGCCTGCTGAAGGGGGACAAAGAGAGGTGGGTGGTGGTCCGAGCGTGGCTCAGTTGGAACGGCAGCGGCGGAAGGACAACCAGAAGTGTTTCCGGTGTGGAGAGCCGTGGATTGGCGGCCACCGATGCAAGACAGGAACCCTCACACTACTGAGACCGCGGCAGAGGACGACAACGAACCAGAAAAAAGGCCGGCGCCGCCAGAGGAGGGCCGCGGTAGTACGGACTCGGAAGAGGAGGAAGGGTTGCTGCTCCTCCAACTGGATCTGAGGTTGCAGGCGTTGGCGGGGATTAATGGGGGAGAGACCCTCAAATTGTACGGTCAGATACAGCAGAAACAGGTAACCATCTTAATCGATAGTGGGGCAAATTCCTCGTTTATCAGTTGGACCAAAGTTAAGGAGTTGGGGTTATCGGTATTGTCGATTTCGGAATACACAGTCAAGGTTGGAGATGGTTATTGCATGACTATAAATAATGTATGCCGAGGGGTGTGTCTGGATGTGTTTGGTTTAGCGTTTGAGTTGGACTTATACCCATTTGAGATACCGGGAGTAGATGTGGTTTTGGGGGCTGGATGGCTTAGGACATTGGGAACCTTTAGGGCAAATTTTCGACAGATGTGGTTAGAGTTCGAGCTGGAAGGGAAGGTCCATCAGTTGATTGGGGTGTCGGCATTATCCCGAGAGCCTATCTCGATTACCGCTGTGGCTAAAATGGCCAAGAAGGGGGAAGAGTGTTATTTGGTGCAGTGGCAGAGCACTCTTTCACCCAATACCCGGAATGAGGGGGCATCGAAGACTTATATGGAGGAGTTGGAGAAGGAATATGAATCGGTGTTCTCCGGAAAACTGGGACTGCCACTGTCCAGAACAGGGGATCATGCTATTGTGCTACACTCGGGTGCAAAACCCCCGAATATCAGGCCCTACCGATACCCTCATGCGCAGAAGAATGAGATTGAGCGTTTGATTGCAGACATGACCGTGGCAGGAATTATTATACCCAGCCAGGGTTCGAGCCTGGTGTTATTGGTTCGCAAGAAGGATAGAGGTTGGCGTTTTTGTGTGGATTACCGGGAATTGAACAAGTTGACAGCGCCGGACAAATTCCCAATTCCCATAATCGAGGAATTGTTGGACGAGCTACACGGAGCATCTTGCTTTTTGAAGCTTGATCTAAAGAGCGGGTACCACCAAATACGCGTGAGGTGGGAAGATGTCGAGAAAACGGCATTTCGGACGCACGAGGGGCACTATGAATTCTTGGTTATGCCCTTTGGGCTTACTAACGCTCCGGCTACCTTCCAGGCGATGATGACCGAGTTGTTCAAACCCCTGCTCCGGAAATTTGTTTTGGTGTTCCTGGATGACATACTCGTTTACAGCCACAGTTCACAGGAGCATTTCGGCCATTTACGCATCGTGTTGGGGCTGTTGAAGGAAAGGGAGTTTTGTGCTCAATTTGAAAAAATTGTTTGTTTTTTCAGGATACTGTGGAATACTTGGGGCACTGCATATCCCAAGAGGGTGTGGCGGCAGACCCGGGAAAGATACGGGCCATGGTTGAGTGGCCAATCCCAACCACAGTAAAAGGGGTGCGAGGCTTCCTGGGTTTGATAGGATATTACCGCCGCTTTGTTAAAAATTACGGCACCATAGCGCGGCCCTTGACTGAGTTGTTAAAAAAGGGGGAATTCGCCTGGTCTGGAGAGGCACAACGAGCATTCCAGGAGCATTTGGCGGATGACGGTGACCCCACTCCTTGCCCTACCCGATTTCAATGACACGTTCGAGGTGGAGACGGATGCCTCAGGGACAGGGGTAGGGGCAGTACTATTACAACAAGGGCGACCAGTGGCTTATTTTAGCAAAGGGTTGTCGCCAAGAACAATGGCGAAGTTTGTTTACGAAAAGGGAACTTATGGCCTTGGTTCTGGCCATCCAAAAATGGAGGGCTTACCTTTTGGGCAGGAAGTTTGTTGTGCGTACCGATCAAAAGTCTCTTTGTTTTCTTTTGGAGCAGCGGATTAGTACCCCGGCACAACAGAAGTGACTGGTGAAGTTGATGGGATTTGAGTTTGACATCCACTACCGAGCAGGAAGAGAGAACGCAGTGGCTGATGCCTTGTCTCACCGGGGCAATTGGACGCAGGGAGGGGAGCTCTTGGCTATCTCGGGACCTCAATTTCTAGACATGGCAATCGTAGAGCGAGAGGTAGCCGCTGACGCCAAACTTTGCACCCTCAAGGATCAATTGAGCCGCAGAGAGGCACCAGGTGATGTATGCCGTGAAGAGTGGGGTGTTGTTGCATTGAGGTCGGATAGTAATACCGGCGGGTTCCCAACTCAAGCAGCAGTTGTTGGAAGAATTCCACTCAACTCCGACGGGGGGACACGCTGGGGCTCTAAGGACGTACAAGTGAATTAGCGCTAACGTATATTGGCCAAGTATAGCAAGGGATGTGCAACGGTTTGCGGCTGAGTGTGGGGTTTGTTAACAAAACAAAGGTGGAGTCTACGAGCCCGGCAGGGTTGCTACAGCCGTTGCCCATTCCCGAGGTGGTGTGGGAGGACATATCGATGGATTTCATTGAGGCTCTACCTAAATCCAATGGTCATGAGGTTATTTTCGTGGTGGTGGATCGCTTAACCAAATTCGCACATTGCATTGCCTTCAAGCGGCCGTTCACTGCGAAGTTGGTGGCAGAGGTGTTTTGTCGAGAGGTGGTGCGCCTTCACGGCATACCTCAGAGTATAGTGAGTGATCAGGATAAGGTGTTCACTAGCTTTTTTGGAGAGAGCTATTCCGCCTCCAACAGACAACCTTACGTATGAGTTCGGCATACCATCCTCAGATGGATAGGCAGACAGAAGTTCTTAATCGTTGTTTGGAGGCATATTTAAGGTGTTTCACCAGTGGCCAACCTAGGCATTGGAGTAGGTTGTTGTGCTTGGCGGAATATTGGTACAACACCAATTTCCACGGTGCTACTCGCATGACGCCCTTCCAAGCACTATATGGTCAGGCTCCCCCGACTTTGGTACGCTATACAGGGGCCAAAACCACAGTTGGCTCGGTGGATATGCAGCTCTCGGAACGAGATGAGCAGCTGAAACAATTACGCTGCAACTTGGAGCGCGCTCAGGAACGAATGAAGCGCTATGCGGATCAGAAACGGGTGGAGCGAGAGTTTTAGGTGGGTGAGCTCGCTTGGCTGAAACTGCAACCTTATCGGCAGGGATCCGTGGCCAGGCGCCCTAGCAACAAGTTGGCCCCAAAATATCACGGTCCATTTGAGGTGATCGGCAAGGTAGGTCCAGTGGCATACAGGCTTCGGCTGCCAGAAGGTTCCAGGGTGCATCCAGTTTTCCATGTGTCTATGCTAAAAAAAGTGGTCGGCAGGCATGCGGTTTCACAGGAACCGGTTGTTGTCGACACCGCGACGAACATTCCCGAACCACTGTTTCCAGAGAGCGTGCTGTAGGGGCGCCTGAGGAAGCAAGGGGGGCAGTCCCTTAAGGAGGTGCTGGTTAAGTGGCAGGGTCGGGACATCGAGGACGCCACCTGGGAGTTGTCGAAGAGTTGCAAGTGCGTTTCCCTACCTTCGACCTTGAGGACAAGGTCTCTTTTGAGGAGGGGAGTAATGTTACAACCGAGCCTAGGAGGAATAAATATGAACGGGCATACTCTAGAGGTGCTCGCAACGTTTTCGGTTGGGGAAGGGATGTGAGTGCGTGAGGAAGGTTGCTGAGCTGGCTTAGACGGTTAGGCTAGGCTAGGGAATAGTGCCTAGAGAGTAGGGAGGTTACAACGGATTGAGGGGTTTAAGGGAGAGAATGGGTTAGGAGAAAGGGATATCGAAAGAGAATTATTCTTACTGTTTTGTATTCCTGGCCAAGCTGAGCTCGTGATTGTTCCAGTGACAATTAATGAATTGGATCCTTTGGTTGAGGTTCCTTAGTAGTCTAGCTGTGGTGTTTTCTCGTGTGGTTGTGTGTTGATTTGTATTGCAGGTACTCGGAAGCCTAACAAAATGTTGGTAATACATGGTAGGTTCTTGTTGGGCATCCTGACTATGAAGTTACTGGTGGTAGTGTGGTGTTTAAAGGGGAGAATTTGTTGGAGATGGAGCCAGAGGAGCGCTCACTGGCTGGCCTCTTTATGAGTTTTCAGTCCCCAATTGAGATTCCGGGTGTGAGCAATATCGATTTTCTCAACATGGCTTACAATGCTCGAAGACGGAAACTTGGTCTGCCAGAGCTCGGACCAATTGAGGTATCTGATTCTTATCAACTTCTTCATCTCTGTTTCTTGCTGAGTAATTTTGAATAGTCTGGCTGTAGTAGTTTTGTTTAGTGGATTCCTATTTTTCATCATATGATTTCATTTCTTTCTTGACATACCTTCTGGTTGGGATGCATTGTTATAGACTTATTTATAGCTTATGCATTCTTCATAAAAGGGAAGTACTGACCTGAGAAGTAAGGACTTGATTCCACGAACTGGGAATTTGGGGGTAATGAACTTTTACACGTTATCGTGATTCCATTCCTCTATTTTAGTTAAAGGAGACAACCACAATTTACTTGCAATCTGTAAGGCATAAGTTCAGGGAGCTACAACAATGGCAATCGTCATTGTTTTATTTTCTTGTTTTATTAGAATAGGAGCCTTCATTGTATGTTCTGCTTTATGACTTGTATATAGTGAGTGGACTATCAGCTAGTGAATAAAATATATTTTCCGGGATGGTGAAAGCTAAAAGTAATGAGGATTTAGACTTTCTTGCAGTTATATTTTGATTGATGCTTATATATTTATTTGATCTTTTTTTTCATAGATGTTGTTTTGCCTTGCAGTTCTATGCTTATATATTTCCTAAACTCGATCTTGTGAACATGAAGACGGACTTTCTGAATAGAAACGTCAATGAAGGATTTAGTGGAGGTGAAAGGAAGCGAAATGAAATTTTACAACTTGCGGTATGATTATTGTCAATAGTGTTCATGAAAAAGTACAGTCACTTAATTCAAAATGCAGAAAGAAATTAAAATTTGTTAATGCTATTTCTTTTATATTTATTATTTAATTGGGCCTTTTTTAACCTTGTCCTACTGCATGAGTTATGTTAAAATCATTCCTGTTGTGTTTGAGATACCTAATTTTTCCGCTGTGTATAAATTGGATGCTTTTGCCTGATTGCAGGTTCTGGGGGCAGATTTGTCTATATTAGATGAAATTGATTCTGGATTGGATGTTGACGCACTTCGTGATGTGGCAAAGGCAGTAAATGGGCTGCTAACTCCAAAAAATTCTGTGTTGATGATTACACATTACCTACGACTGTTGGAATTCATAAAGCCTTCATATATTCATGTTATAGTAAGTTATTGTGGAAGACATTGAATAATGGTAAAAAGAACTGATTGTGTATCTGTTTGTCAGAAGAAAACATTAGACCAACAGGGTAATATTTTCTTCCAAGGAATTCTTTTGTGATACCACGCATAGAGTAGAATTGAACTTTTAATTAAGTTATTCTGGTGATGAGGTCCTTGTATGCAAATGCAATGCATATTAGTTCCAGAGACGTATTGTCTCTGAATGCCTTTAAAAACTTAATCAAAGTTCCTTGATACTCACAGGTTCACTCCCACAGAACCTTGTTATTTGTCATTCAGAGGATTGTTTGTCCCTTCTTCTTTTCACCCTTTTCCTCGTTTCCCTTGTTTCTTCTATTAAAATAGAGAAGGCTCTGATTGTACAGGATGTCTGTTGGGTTATTAAAATAAATAAGATTGTTTTAACTTTTCGATTCAAGTTCAGGGTAAGACATGAAAAGGGACTTTATTGCGGTAATCAAGACTTGCACCCTGTTTTTGAGCTAATTTTAGAATAGGTTGAGTAATTAGGAACATGGTTAAAACAGGTTTCGTGTTCTATTTGTTTTAATCTAGTCATGTTACTTCAAGAGTTGACCGTTCATTGACTTATTTAGTTTTAAAGTTTTTAGTTCGGCAACTTGTTGTACAGTGTGTTTATAAGTGAATTTTGGTTTAACATGGTGTTGTATTATTGAAAAGCAGTCGTAAATGTTGGACAAGCGTGCTAATATATTCATATCCTTATAACTTTATTATTTTAATTACTGGACTGTAGGAGGACGGGAAAATTGTGAAGACGGGAGACATCTCCATCGCTAAACATCTGGAGAAAGAAGGTTATAAAACAATTTCTGCCGCATAAATGCCAGTGTGCCGCCAAATAGGTATGTGTTCTCTCTCCTCCCTATTGATCTCTTCAACTTTAGATCTTGGAAATGTTGCACTATTTTTGTTAATGCTTCTCCGTTTCTCCTTTTTTCTATTTACATTGTGCTCTAATTGCGTGCTTTAGCATGTAATTCTTCTTCTAAATGTCTCTTGCATTATATTGCCAACATTTTTCATCTCAAGCCTTCTGATTAAAAATACAGTTGTTGTTGTATGGTTCTCTCTCTCTCTCTCTCTCTTCCCTAATTTTTGTTCTTCATTCTGGTCCTTTGTCATACTTAGTAGTAGTGGACTAATGGCGACATAGTCATCGGTTTCACATTATACAACTTGGCCTTCATATTTGAGGGTCATCAGCAATAACTTTACCTTTCAGCCGGCATTTAACGGTTCCCCCAGGTAGTTTGGTTTTGTTTGAGATGCCGTAAGGGTATTTGTGAACAATTCATTTTGCTACGAGCTTTCGGACCAGACAAGAACTGAACCTTCTTATTTCTTTCTCACAAATACATACTTCGTTTTATATGCAAATCCTGCTAATCGTTTTTTTTTTTTTTTTTTTTTTCCTTTTCCCTTCTGTGTAAACAGTTCAGGCATTTTTTTCTGGTCATTGCAATCCTGTACTATTGAGAGGATCTGTGTGCTCGTTCATGCCGCTTTATGACCTTCCAGAGGTTTACTCCTCCAATGCGGAAAAGTGGCCTTCAACATAGGAACATGCCAGTAAAAACGGAGGAGTTGAAAGTAAATGCTAATGTGTTTCTGAGGCCGGTGTCAAGTTTTTACTCTCCTCCATTTGTATTTTTGGAAACAAATTAAAAAAAAAACGAAAGATGAAACATGAATCATGGATCAAACACATTGAAGACAAAGGTCAATTTTCTTTATTCCTTCAGCGAGGCATATGGTTTCATTTCTGAGCGGGCGCAATTTCTTTTAACATTTGAATGGATCTGATGTTGTCAGAAGCATACATGAGAAGATGAAAGAAAATTGTAAGGTTTTCGTCATATTTGTTGCATCTTGCTCATGTTGTTTGAAAAACAGAGTAGAAGAGTGTCTATTTAAATTGGTTATAGCCCTCGACTCAATAAGGGATGGTGCTTATGGATTTTATCTAAATCTTTTTTTTCCGGAGATTATTAAAAGGATTTACCTAAATAAGTGAAAATATATCAAATAATATATTAAGTGCAAAATATATTGTAAACCAAGTAAAGTCCAATTTAATCCGGAGGTTTTCATGTCGCTTCACGACCTCGCGGAGGTTTTCTTTCCTGCAATGGCAGCAATGCAGAAGTGGTCTTCACACGGAAACTGTGACGACCCTAACTTTTGATCGTCATCCTGTACTCATATTTAGCATTTCTTAACCTCTATGACGACTCTAATTATAACTTCTTAAAATTTCAGGCTATTTTTTTTTTTTAATCTTACCATGTACGTTAAAATGCTGTAGCATTTTGACAACATTCTATTACACTAGTCATCAAATACATAAAACACTATTTTATTTTACATATAAAGTTCAGTAGCGTTTCCAAAACACATGATGCGTCCACAACCCACTTGCCCACATTCCGCTGCTACACCCTCTCTGCATGCCCAGCATCAAGTTTTAGGGAGCCGGTGCCTTACCCGTGCTTCCTATAACACGAACAAACTTAATGAGCTTTTGCTCAGCAAGTATCAATAGGTCATAACAGATGCAATAATTATGCATACCCATAAATGCATTCATATCATATAACCTAGTACAAAATTCTAAACGACTTTCATTATGTATTTCTCATTCTTTTCATTCTTGTTTACGGATACCATATCGTTATATGGAATGATTTCCGTGTTTCATTTTCTTGTCTTTTACTTCTTAGGGGCCCTGTCCTGTTGTACCATAGCGTGCATAACCAGTGAGGAGTGGGGTAGCTAACCAATCCAACTCAGTCACGGTTTCATATCTTTCATAATCTCATAATATCCTTTCCTTCGAAGGCTGGTACAAACAGGACGTTTGGTCTCTTACCGTTTATCAATTTTCTCATTGAAACGATAACTTTAGTTAAATCTTATGAATTTGTGCATTATTGAGCATTTTATCATGAGATTAACTTTTCGTTAAACTTTAACATTTCACTTTTCTTAGTTTGATCTCGAACTAACATCGATACATATTTTTGTAGAATAAAGTTCTTCGATTACATAAGTCTTGTAGATACTTACCTAACATAGTATCTAGCATTC